CAAATCAAAAAAGATAAACTCATGCCTTTTGCAGCAACATGGATGGAGCTGGGAGGGATCAGGCTTAGTGAAACAAAAGAAAGAAAAGGAAAATACTGGATGGTTTCACTCATAGCAGAAGCATAAACGACCGGGGGCTGAGGGGAATAATAATAATGAACAGCCATATACCAGAGACATTTTATGGGGGTGGAGTGGGGACTGGGATCAAAAATGGGGGGAGGGGGACTGCACGGGACTAGGGTGATGACACACAGGTGATTTGGTGATGGGAAGCCCATGGGGATTACAACTGAGATGGGAAAAGGCACAAGATGATGTAAAAATAAACCATTATATTAAAAAAAAAAAAAAAGACTGCCTCAGACGATTTCCAAAATGCTTTCCTGTCAACTCCAGAGTGTACAGTTGTGTCAGGGCACCTGCTGTCCTAAAGAACCCAGATTTGTGAGGGGAAAGTGCTCATATTCATCTTCCCACCTCGGCCTCCCTCACTTCCTTCCCATCTTCTGTTCTGAAATAGATGAAAAGTTTAAGATTATTAGTGACAGAAAAGCGCCGGTTGGTACAGCTACTTTCCGGGATGCCAGCCACTGTGCAGCAAGCAGCGGTGTGCAAGGGTCCCCAGTTCTCGGCAGGCACCCAAGGTGAGCTGCAAGACCAAGGGCAACTTGACCTTCACGGCTGGCACCATTCAGGGCACCTGTGCTCAGGGACACAGGGATGGGGATGGGGACGTAGGGCCGCAGGCTGTCTGGCTGCTAATGCCAGGGCCACCCAGGGCTCTGGAGATGGCAAGGCCGAGCAGAGTGCCCAAGGGTCTCCTCCCAGCAACTGTCTGGCCCCGCCACAGCTATCAGGCAGACGGGACACCTCCACCTCTGCCTTGTAGGCAAAGGTCGCTGGTGTCTGCCTACAGCCCTGACGCAGACTTGTTATGAGCATGAACAATCAAAACAACCACCCCAAACCCCACAGAGGGCAGTGGTCAGAGGCTGGAGCCTTGCCTCCCCCAAGCGGGGAGGCCTTCTGCCTCTCCCTTCTCCCCACCAAATCCTAACTCTTGCGTGTCTGATAGCCCAGGTTGAGTAGTGCCTTGGCTTGCGCCTGATCCTTCTTGGCATCTGGGATGCTGGGGAAATAGGGAAAAGGCCTGAGATCATCAGCTGAGTGGGGGTGACTCCCTGTTGACTTCACCATCTCCCGGGATGTGGAAGGAACAAGTGTATGTCTCCAGCATCTCAGTCCTCGTCTCAGATTTCCCTAACATCTGTGCTAAGTCCAGCTCCTTTCCTCCCATCCTGGCATGGCTACTGTGGCTCTCTTCCTTTTTTCCCTAAGATTTATTTTATTTATTTACACACAGAGAACTGGGGTGTAGGCCAGAGGTACGGGAGGAGTGAGGATTCACCAGAGGAAGGGTAGGGAGCAGAACAGGCGGATCTACTGAAATCCACTGCTGAGTGGAGCAGCGGAGGAGGCAGGAGAGGTCTGCTGTGCCCTGTGGGTCAGCTCCCTGGCAGGTGTGGGGGGGTGGGGGGTGGATTGTACTCATGCTGCAGTGGCTGGTGATAGCTTGATAGCACTGAGCCTTAACCTCTGCACCACTAGGGGGGGCCCTCCCCTCTTTCTTTTGCAGCTTTCTTCCTCAGAAGGTCCCACTGGCTCCTCTCTACCCTGGCCATGCCCTGGGTCCCTGGGGCCACTGATAATCAGACTAGGCCTGGCAATCCTGGCCCCAACCAAGATCTGTTGTCTAGCTCTGCCCGTTCTGCCATGCCCAGTGCCAGGGAGATGATAAGAGCAGCAGCTCACTGTGGCTCACCCACTGTCACCATGTGGGCAGAGGCAGCTGCCCAGAACCTGTGTGCAGAGGGGCCCACTGCAGAGGAGACCCCGCGCATGGGCTTTAGACTCCCGCTGCCACATCTCTAAACAAGGTAGGGGAAGGGAAAGATCACACCAGCAGGCTCTCCCACTCTTTCTCTAGCCCTCATTTCTACTTAGAGACTGCCCACCCTGCTTCTCTCTGCCCACTCCCCTGCACCCACCCACAAGCCTGTCTGCCAGGTCCCAGGCTAGGAGAGGCTATTAATTATTAAAGCAAACAAAAGCATTTCCTAGCAGGGAGGCTAGCCTGTAGCTGCTTACAGGAAAGGCGGCCTCTGCTGGCTTCCCTCTCAGGGCCCTGCTAGTGTGTTGGACCAGGTGGAGGGGGAGGGCTGGCCTTGGTCTTCCAAGGGTCGCTGGGGTAGGAAACACAGCAGGAGGAGAGGAGGCCAGCAGCTGCCCTGCACTGAGCACCCAGCTCAGGATGTGGGTCTGCAGGAGGGCTGGGGACAGTGGGCCAGGGCTGGCATGTGGCTCTCAGAGGTCAAGTCCTGTTGGCCCAGGGCAGAGATGGTCACAGCAATGGCCACCGGTCCTTGTGCAGAGGGATACCAGGCAGGCCTCAGTCCCTGCCTCCAGGGTAAGGGCACACCGTCCCTTCCTACTACTCTTCTGCCCAGAACTTTCCTTCTTGATGGCGGAGTTTCCCTCACTGACTTTAGCAGGCCCTGGGCCTTTGCCTCCTCCTGCAAAACTTTGGCATTATAAAAATGGGGAGTAGCTGGTAGCTGTTGTTCCAGTACTTGGTCTCTAGGTCAGACAGACCCTGAAGACCACTAACATGGAGAGGGGAGTCCCCACAGAGGGGGTTTGGGACCTTCTCACATGCATTCCTGCTTTTGCCAGCAGATACTTATTGCCCAAGACTGGCTGCTCAAATGTGTTCTCCTCTGCAGACAAAGAATGATCCAGACACTGTCCTTGCCCTAGGGGAAGGCACAGGCAGGCAGGACAAGGAAGCCTGGGGCAGGCTGTGCACAGCTCACCTGTAGGCAGCAGTCAGACCCACTCCCCTGGGCCAAGCAGAAGGGAGCAAACAGAGAGTTGCTGGGGTGGGGAAGGCCCCAGGGGCACCAATTCTAGAGAAACAGTTAAGTCTCCAACACCAATAATGGATGAGGAGGGCTGGGGCAAGTCTGGGGTCACACTGTGATGGGCCTTATATGCTGCCTATCCAAGAGGACCTGGGGAGGGGGTCACTGAAAGTTTTAACAGAGGAGGGACAAAATCAAAGTTCAGAAATATTGCTTTGGTCTCTGGTGCACGCTGGATGGTTTGGAGTGGGGTGTGTGAAAGACTAGGAGGCTGGGGGTTAATTGGGGCAGGCCCATCTGGGGAAGAAGGGGGTGAGGATCAGGTGTCTGATGGAAACGTTGGCTGTGGGCACTGACATCGGGAGCGGGACACAGAGGCAATGTCCTCACGCCTTGTCAACCAGGTGGCTGTGAAGCAATGGCAGGAAAGAGCTGTCACACCGAGGGACGCCCTGGGGAAGAGCACCTGTGCCTGCACCCAGAGACAAGAGGGAGAGAACCCAGACGGGGGCTGAAGAGGGTGGTGGGACAGGGAAAGGCATTTTTCTTGTTGCTGTCTTGAGATAAAAAGACCCGTGGAGAACCAACTGGGGATCAAATACAGGCAACAGTGAAGGCAATCTGGGAGGGGGAGAAAAAGGATCAGCCTGCGCCCTTCTGGAAGGGGGTCACTTCGCATCACCAGATGAGTAGGGATTGCCAGTCTGCATCCTGGAACTGAGGAATCTCCATACTGGGAGATCAGCAGAACTCACCTTAAGAAAAGCCCCCCTTCTAATACCCCCCCCAACCTGAGTTCTAGTAACAGGAGTCAGTCTAGATATGCTGACCCTACTCAAGATAGGGTCCCCTCACTCCCCAGATACAGCCACCACTTTGCATATACTCCCCACTCTTTAGAACTGCTGGCTGAGGCAGGAGCAGAGAGAAGCGGGAATCTTAATCCCGAGGCCCCACTGGAACTCCTTACCACTCTAACAAGAGTTCTCACTGCAGAGCCAGTGATGGAGAAAAAGGTGGAGCCCATTAAGAAACAGTAGAAACCCACGATTGAAGTGATCACACAAATGTAACAGAAGCCCAGAGCCAACGGAAAAACAGGCAGGATGCAGAACTGTATGTGTATAGCACAGGAAGGCGCATACTTATGGAAGACGGGAAGGCAGGCCACTAAAACCCTGACAGCAGTTGTATTTGAGAGGTGGGATTTTGCTTTCTATTTTCCAATTTTTCTGGAATACTCACGAGATAAAGTTTATGTAAATTCTTCTAACCAGCCCCCCTCCAGCTACTGTAGGTACCAAAACCCAGGGCCCAGGTGTGGAGGTGTATGTCGACAACTTTTAAAACTTCCTTTGCAAGTCGGGATTCCATCCTCCCACCCAGAGTCCAGCTCAGTCTCCCACAAATGAGAAAGAGGAGGTGGGTATAGGTGCTGCGTTCCCAGGAGCCCCCGTGCCATTCACGGACCCACCAGAAAAACACGAGAAGACTTGGGACCTGAGTGACCTTGGCCATTCGCAAACCCTGCCATTCCAGACAAACCGACTGCCCGCCGCAACTCTTCCCCACTCCTCAGGCCCCAGTCACTTCCCGAGCTCTGCAAACGCCCCCCCCCGCCCCCCACCTCACCCTCCAACTCTGAGGGGCGTGGGAAAGCAGAAAGGGGGCTGGGTTTCGTGCCTTTCCAGGCGGAGAGCGGCGGAATTGGACAAGGAGAGACCTTGGGACTGCCCAGAAGGAGGGTTGGCTGTTCCCTGAGCGCTGCTGGCTGAGGGTCAGGGCTCAGGGGCTGTGGGCAGCGGGAATTCCTCCTTTCAGTCCAGGCAGGCTGGGTCCGCGCACGACAGGGAGAATGCGAGCCCGGACAGCCCGGCTCGGAGGCAGAAGCCCCGCCCAGGCCCGGCCCACACCCTCAGGAAGATGCACCGGCGCTCGGGACCGGGTGGGCGGGATAGCGGGCCGGGACAGTCCAGAGTTGGGGCTCCCTCCGCCTCGGCGGCAGCTGAGCGAGCTGAGCGAAAGCGGCGCGGAGCCGTCCAACCCGCGCGCCCCGGGTCGTGTCCGAGCGCTTACCTCTGTGCGGCGGTGCTGGCGTCCAGGATGCCGGCGCCCTGCATCCAGGAGCGCACCGAGCCCAGGCCGGCGGGCAGCAGTGGCTCCTCCTTCAGGTTCAGCCCGCCGCGGGGCAGCGCGTCCTGCGCAGGGAACATAAGGGCGCGCGGTCGGCGGGCGCTCCCGCCGCCGGGGCAGCCTGTCTCCTGAGGCTGCGGGCGCCTCAACTCCGCCCGACCCGACGGCACGGGCGCCTGCAGGAGCGCAGCGCAGCGCCGAGTCCCGGAGGCTCAGGGCGCGCTGGCCTCTCGGGCGCTCCCTCGGAGAAAGCGGGTCCGCGAGCGCGGCGCCGTCCCCTCCCCTCCCGGGGCGCGGGGCGGGGAGATGGAGGG